AATCCTCACCAAATTATGTATAAGTGCATGCTAAACATAAAAATGTCTTAAATTATTTCTTTAAAACTAAGCAAAATACAAATTAAAAAGGATGGAGGTCAAGGTCAGAGGAATGTGCAAGGTGAAGTTTTTGATGAAGTTATCAGCATATTATGTTTGATAAAAATATCTTGAATGATTTAATGAAACTGACCTTAACACTTTTTCTAAGAAAAGAGAGGTCAAAGGAAAGGTAAGGGCCAAAATGTTAATTGTTGCAGTTGAAAAGCTTACATCAGTATGAATTTACTATTAGTATATGAAGTTTGATAAAACTATAATTAATGGTTTATTCAAAACTTAGATAAACACAAATTTAAAAAGTGAGGTCAAGGTCAAAGGAAAATTCAAGGTCAAAATAAGTTGATGTATTAATAGCTCTCAGCAGTATGTATCAGCATATGAAGTTTGATAAATATATTTTGAATTGTTTACTCAAAACTGATTTAGACATTAATTTTAGAAAAGTGAGGTCAAGGTCACAGGAAAGGTCAAGGTAAAAAAGAGTGAAGTATTGTAAAGCTTACATAAGTATGTATCATCATGTAAAGTTTCATTACACAACTTGAATGGTTTCTTTAAAATAAAGCTAAACAGTAATTTAAGGAGGCTAGGGGGTCAACAAATTATTTTTTTATTAACCACCGGTTATAACTTAAATTTGGGGATATGATATCTTAAGCCGTCAACTATCATTTGGCAAAAAAAAATTTCATAAATTTTAGTTTTAAAATTTGATCATTTTATCATTTTTATTATACCTTTATATGGAGCTCTTCTTCTAAAGGAGATCAAAATACTCTAAAAATGGCCGCAACCACCCAGCCTCTTTAAAGAAAAGTTACGTGAAGGTCAAAGGAAAAGTCAAAGTCAAAAAATATTGCTGCAGTTGGATATTTACATCAGTATGCATTAACATATGAACTTTGATAAAAATATCTAGAAAGTTTCTTTGAGCCCAATGGAAAGACAGATGGAAGGGTGGAGGACGGACATGACAAAAACTATACATGTATTCCTAATCATGGTGTGGCATAAAAAACTTGAATCTACATTATATGACGATGTTTCCATCTATCAAGATTATACAAGCAAATTCAAAGAATTGTGGTCCTCTGCTTTCTGTGATTTAGTGAATGGGATGCCATAATTTATGGCATATTATGTCATTGAATATGCACCCATATCATATATCAATTTTTGAAAATTAGGTCAAAGGGGTAAAATCATAGCATGTTCTGAAACATTTTGTTGCAGGTAATGTACATGTCAAATATAAAAGTCATATCTCTTTTGAATCAAAATTTATATATACAATATACTATTTTTGAAAAGTAGGTTAAACTTCTAGGTCAAGGTCACAGAGTCAAAAGTAATGATATATTTAGAAAAGTCTTTTCACATGTAATAAACATGTATAATTTGAATGCCCTTTCTTTTCTCTTTCAAATTGATCAATTTAAAATGTTATTTTTTGGAAAGTAGGTAAAACTTTAAGGTCAAGGTCTCACTTGGGTTAAAAAATCATCGTATATTTAGAAAGTTTTGTGGTAATGTACATGTGAAATAGGAAAGCAGTATCTCTTATTATTCAAAAGTTATGACCAAGGTTAAAGCTGTCAATAAAATGTACAAACTGACAGACAAATGAGATTTAACGTCCCCTCCCTTTCCCCAAAACGGGGGACAATAATGCCCTTGCTGTTCTTGAGAAGAAGATTTATGATGGAAAAAATCCCCTGCATATTTCTTAACGCAAATCAATATTGTGTTTTTATGTCATTTTGTTTGTTATTAAACATCCCTCTCAGGAATTTTTCACTCATATGGAGACACCACCACTTGAAAAATAATGAGGACAAGTTAGATTTGAGGTCAACATTCATTTTAGGAGTTTTCAACCATTAAGACATAAAGAAATATTAACTCGATCCTTCCCCTCACCCCTTCCCAGACCCCTGTTTGTTTATGTATGCAAACTACTACCTGTATTACATTAAAAAAAAAATTATACAAATAGTTTAATGTGGTCCATCTCTGAATGATTTTCATTCCTATTCTAGGCCGCCGCCAGAAGATAAGTTGACACAAATTCATGAAAAAAATGTCAAGTAATCTTATCATTGATGCACTTTTATTTAATTTAATGCAGTCATATTGTGAACATTTCCAGCTCATTAGGAGTGGGAATGACCTCCAGGGGTTAATTCATAACCTTTATACCATTAAATTTACATAACATAATAACACAAGAAACAAAATTATGGAGAGTCAAATGGAAAAACTTTCCAACTATTAAGGAGTCACATGATCATTTGTCATTACAGGGACAGGGAGTGGATTGGCTGATCGCCCTCTCACCCCCCCCCCCCCTTGGAATTTGCAGGACTATAATATATACTGGAGGAAATAAAAATGACTTTGTATGCCCTAAGTGTCCCTCCACCTTAGAAAACAGACCCAAACATAACTTCTTTTTTTTTAGCTTCTCAGGAAATTCTGGTATGGAAACCCCCCTCCGTCCCAGTCCCAGAAAAAAATCCTGGATCTTGTAACTGAATGTAACGTTGATAACGGGGGATAACTCTTCAGAATGTCAAAGCATCGGATGACCTTTGATCCTTTAAACTTGAACCTAACCGTTTGCATTTCAGACTATTTTACCCAAATCTATACCAAAACTTTGTACTTACCGATTGTCATTATTTAGGTCCTGTAATCTTCATGAAATATAATCCAATTAAAACACAAATTGAAATAATTCCTATATGCAATGATGTGTATACCACACTAGTAGCCTACTGCACGTGCAGTGAAATCTAAAAATGATAATGCCAATGGTAAAACTAGTACTTAAGTTGGGTACGTGACGGAAGCCCAATGTGATGCAGGTGTTCAAATACATGTATAGTGCAAGAACAAATTGAAAATTATAACTTACGAAAGATGTTTTATCTTAACTTTCCATCTAGGCCTATTTTCAAAAACAGGCAAATTAGGTGTGTTTGTGTGTGTGTGTTGATGGGAGAGGGGTGGGGGTTGACTTTTATGGCAGCTTTCAAGAAGTTTAGAACTGCCTTGTCAAATATAAATAAACTTTGCACATTTTGAAAAATTCATCAAAAACTCTTTACACTAATTTGAATAATATTATTTGTTGATTTATAGATATGAGAAAATAGATTTAAAAAGTTCCAATTATGTGCCAAAAATTTATAACCCCCTCCCCCCCCCTTTATCAAACCTTATTTATATCATTAATTAATTCTGTTGTTTAATTCAGACTAGTAATGAATTAAGGATATGAAATACTTATTAGATGGAGGCCCATGGGTCACATGGTCACCTGAGCTTATTATGCTCAATTTGATAAAACATGTAATATGTAAATTATTGAATTATATTGACTTTTTCCTTGGTAAAGCCCAATATGAAGAAGTGTGCATTTAGAGGCAAACACCTTAGTGCGGGTATTACTGTCTCATGACAGCATCTAGTCTAAAATGTTTTCGCACAATGCACAAATGGCCATGATACATGTACATGTAAATGTCTTTGAGCCTCCGTCTTAGAAGAACTAGAATTCCAAAAAAAAAAAAATTAAAAACGTTCTTAACACTGTGTACTAAAGCGCTCTACTTACAGTATAATTTTAAATAGGAAAAGTGATCTGCCCTAAGAGGAAAAAAATGTAAAAGTTAATTTTACAGTGAATTACATAATGTGTAAAAGACATATTTTTAGCATTATATAAGTCCTAGAAGAAGTAATTGAATCTATTATTTTCATTTATTTTCCCGATTTACATGCAGTTAACCAGCAGCGATTTCTGCTCTCTTATAGTCCATTGTCTTTGAACATTTTTCTTGCAGAAATAATGCAGGCACCCTGTGTCATAAATGAATGAAAAAGTATCAATATGGACACTTTCCTTTGAAACTTTTTCCTCCAAGTTCAAAAAACAGTTTATGTTCGTGTTTAACGCTTCCTTAAAAGTGGTAAAATTATAATCCTTTTATTTTTACAATGACATGTTTATAGTCCCTGGGACCTCAAGAAGAGGTCTTCATGAAGAGTCATAAATTTTCGGATCCGTTTCTTTTTTCATACACAAACTATAATATGTTGGTTATTGCATATCTATCGAAATGATTATTTTAGAATTGTTAATTGTGTCATTGTGCATATACAAGACGTTTAATATACATTATTTATTGAAATTGAGGCATTGCACCCCTTCCATTGGAGCTATAAATCGTGTTTTGTACCCACAAAGGTGCTTGTAAAGACTTAATTCTTTTTAGTGCTTCTCTTACATGTACATATTGATTTAAGATCTGTCTTTATAAAACAGCGTTTCCTCTGATTTTTTGTTGCGTTTGAATGAACTACTGAGATCGAAAACAGTTCATAAACACCATATTTCACCTTAATACATTGTTGTATTATTGTATGATATACAGTGACGTTTTGTTTCTTCGGATTCTTGTTAAAAAATATTCTAGCTCACAATAGGGTAAACCATCACCTAACCTTTTTTTTCACTCAGACCCCTGAAAAGAGTATAATATATTATTGAATTATAATTATAGTTCTATATGGGATAACATGCCCTACACATGACACATTTCTAAAAAGAGGTAAATTATTGACAAACAAGTTGATAAAACAAGATTTTTAGCAGTCTCCCTTAAAGTCATCATTTCGTTACATGTAGTCCAGGACGGATTTTTCCGTTTATACCTGATAATGACAAGGGGCACAAGGTGAGTATGTCTGTTCGACAGGGAGTGTACAATCCTCCATGGTGTCCGATCCCACCTCTGAATTTTTATAGGTCCGTGTTTGCTCTGCTCCTATTTTGTATTATTAGATGGATTTTTGTTCTTGAATACTATTCGTTATGTTGGGATGTTTCATTCAAGTATTTTGTTTAAAAGCTTTCTCAATTAACCTTACAGCCAATGCTCCTTAAAATATTCCTTTAAAAGTTCGTATGGCCCAATGAAATACAACTGTGTCAAGACAGATGGTTACTGGAATGTTTTCGCAGGATCACAAAATGGAATAGTCAATCATTGGGACACAAGGTTTACCAACGACCCTATCCAAGTAAGCTTTATTTCAAATCTGCAACAAATTTTGGTCTCATTTAAGATAATATTTTCAAATTTATTTTAAAGAAATATTGAGTTTTAGCAATACCGCAATCTATGTAAGCAGTGCTTTTCTACTTAGATTTTTAAGCTAGTAATGTATGAAATAATTATAAGGAAAATGCACTTAAAACACATTTGCAAGCAGATATACTTGATCCATTCTTAAAAAAATAATACATTTTGCAAATAAACTTCGAAATGGGTGCACCAAACTTCGTTTCTTCTCCTTTATCAACAATAAATTATATACAAGATGATGTCCCTAAACCTTATTAAGATGTCATCATATAGTAAATATTGAACATTAGATTAAAAGTCTACTTCAATTTTGTGTTAACAGCCATGAAATATGATAAACATGAGTAATGATAGCGTTTTCGGTTGGCGGATGTAAGCTACTGGCAAATTTTGATAAACTGCTGACATCGGTTTTCAAAGTGGGAGAGGCCAGCCAGAGAATTTTTTTTACTTACTTGTAAAAGTTGACAAGCAAACAAAAAAAAAAAGAAAGAAAAAATTGCCAGAACTCAAAAATCATTTTTTTTGGGGGGGGGGGGGGGGGGGGGGGGGGGGGGGGGGGGGGGGGGGGGGGGCTAGTAGGCCAACTTTTTTCAATGCCAACTTCCTTTCACTTCCAATAGTATACAATACTACTTCTTCATATCTCTTTACTCTGGTAAGAAGGGGGGGGGGAGGCAACCAACCTTTCAATGGACATTTTCAATAGTAAAGGCACCCCCACCCCTTATTGCTACGTGCCTGAATTGACAACAAGCAATCGTTTACCTATTTCATAAAAGTTATCACCGAATTATTTAATCAAACCTTTATTAAACGACATTCGATCCTCATATCTAAAGTCTTAAACTTTTTTTGCCAAGTATATTTTTAGTTTCTACATTCATGGCTTAATTAAAATTCAAATCAAAAAATGGGGGTTTATTCGCTTCTTTTGGCACTACAGTACATTTGATATGACCTTCTTGCACTGAAATTTGAGTCTGAATTAAAAATTAAATTTTTGACGTTTTCTCACCAATATTTTTATCCAATTAAAGCATGAAACAAAATGAGTTCCAAGTTTGTTTAAAAAAGGACACTTAAAAATTGTGACTAAGAAAAAAGTTTCAAAGTGCTTCGCATAATCAATTATTTGACCTTTCTGCACTAATAAAACAGTGATTTTCTGGCATTGAAAATTTAATAAGCAAGAAAATTATTTTAAAGTCTTAAACTTTTTCTAATTTTAAGCAAATAGGTCAAATTTATCTTGAATATTTAGAAAAGAATACCAAAATGTGGGGGTATATGATGAAAATTTTCAGATATTACTAAAAAAGTGTCAATTTTACGTTAAAATTGGCTAAATTTTTTCCCGGATTTTCAGAACATATTGACTATACTTGTCACACTTTATTGATAGAGTACAAAAGAAATAATTTCATAGATATTTCAGAACCAGCATAACACATTTCACTGCAAAAAACAGATTAGTGTGCAACCAGGATCGAAAAATAGGAATCCAAAATTAACAGTACTGTTATAGTTCAAAATGGAAAAACTGATCATTTTAGTCTGTCAGTAAAAACTACTATTCATAACAACTGTAACAATATATTTTCTTTTGGAACTGGTAACTTTATTTAAATTCAATTTATGCTTGCATAGGATTTTTAGGATGATTATCCTATAATGTATATAGTGTATATAGTCAAAATAAATTCACTTGAAGGTTTTCAAATTTGATTATTTTTCTTTCCAGACCTTGGAGTTAGGAAGAGGCATATTGACAGTCATTGGTCCAGATTTTAGGAAACGTAAAGAGGACAGCCCCATTTTTTCATTGGGGTTTGATTGCAAAGGAATCTATGCAGCCCTAGCTCAAAATATCAAAATCATCGATTACAGTGTACCTACCTTAAACACTAACCAGAAAAGTTGTCAGAAAACAATATGCTTGATATAAGCAACTTTTCTCCAGGAAACTGTTCAATGACAATGAAGAACTGAAGTTTTCAGTTACTTGGGGGGATAGACTATATTTGAAATTTAAATTTTATACGAATTTTGTTATGTACTGTGTATATTTGCTAACTCGTATTTCATCAGCGCCAACCGTCTCTTCAATAAAAATGGAACTCCTGTTTTTGGTCATCAATAAAATGATTTGGCGAAGAATTTTAAAATTTCTGATTCTACTTGATATTAAACGGAGTCTAGAGTTTCTCATTGAACAAAACATTAATGCAAAAAGTAATTGTATTGGTAGATTGATTTATTGAATATTGTTTAAAGTCCCTCTCAAGAATTTTTCACGCAAATTGAGACGCCACCATTTGCCGGCGGAGAGCGGCAAATTTTGTCCTATACTCAGCACTCAGGGCCATTGAGCAGGGAAGGATCTTTTACGTGCAAGCAACTACTGCGACACGGGACCTCGGTTTATACGGTCTCATCCGAAAGACCAGTCTCCACGTCTCGCTGTTTGTATTGGTAGATTAATATTGTATTATGATGCTGAATCTATCAATCTACATATCAAGTGAATTTCTTTAGCTTCGAAACATCTTCGAATGTAATGCTGTTTTTTATATGTTGACTGGCACAAAATGCTTGTATCATACTAGCCACAAGGGTTTAACTGCAATATTACAACATATAATTTTTTATATTTTAAAACATAGTTTTACTGGTTAGAGTAATAGATGA